CGGCTTTTTTCTTTTTGCTTATGTGGTGCTGAGGAATCGAACCCAGGGCCTCAGGCATGCAAGGCAAGCGCTCTACCACTGAGCCACCTTCCCAGCCCACAAGTGACAATAACTCTTAAAGAATAAAACATTTGTCACAAACAGTATTAAAATACCCTATTTCCAATTTCCAAATCAGTATTTCTAATTCACATTTTCAGGGCAAGAAAGCCAACAGATTATATCCATCTAAAATCAAGTCTTTATTCGAATCAAATAGCCAGAATAGATGGGACAGAGACCTCGTTTCAAATAACTAAGAATCTTAAAATATTTCAATAGAAAATGTGTATATAAACTGGCTTAACATTAACAATATAACAACAGCTACCTTCAAGGAGAGACCAGCCCCTAGATTATATTTTTAGAAATCTACTATGAAACAAAACCTAGTGTACATAAGCTGAATGTAAAACAGCAGTTCTCATTTCTGTTAGAAAAAATAAAATGTACCACTACAAAGAAAGTAGCTTATTATAAAGACAACTTTTCAGTCTATTCGCTATAACCAATCATAACAAAACATTCAGTTGCCTAAGTAGATAATGTCCCCAAAAAGAACCGAACAATCATTTAAAATTGGGAGGACAATATCAATAACTTTCAAAATATGTACAACAAAACAAGAACCAAATACTTACCCACAGTAGGATGTAAATTAAAATTAAATTCTTTATACAGAACTGTGTCCAGCAGAGCGGCTACATCTGCGGATATAGCACATGCATTGCATAAGGCAGTAGTTTGGTGGACAGGACTTGTAGTCCCCAAAGGGGCACAGAGTTCCATATCCAGATCATAAAAATTCTCTGAGTATATAACCCAATCCGTGCTACTCAATATAAGAATTAAATTGGTAACAAAAAAGAATACTCAACCCAATTCCAAGAAATAAAGTATTAAAATAGAGTTTTGGTCTTTGAACTGGGTGTCTTTATCATAACCCAGTATATAGAAGTGAGAAGTTAAGACTTAATACCACCTGCTACTACCAACCTTTAAGTCCCTCACATAAGCATAATCCTTTTCAGTATTACTTTTTAAAATGTGATTTTATTCCATTATGTTAAATTCTCACAGATTTTTCAGAGAATGCTTGAAAGTTTTGGAATCTTGAACATGATACCCATGAGAGATGATATGTTAATACACCCTTACCATACTTTTCAAGAAAATGTGGAAAATTAAGCCTCCAATTCTGATAATAAAGAACAGAGCATGATCTACAATTAGTGCTTACTACTATTGTCGTGAACTTTTTTATCCTTCACATAAATATGTACTAGACTCAAATTAAACCACAACATATAGCAGAGAATAGTTTTACTTGGCATTTGTTAGTATGAAAGGCTATAAATTCACATGCTTGCAAAAGTGAAGATAAAACAACAATTAACAAATACACAAGTCACCAGGAAGCTGAAGGTTTGGAAAAAAAGTAGCTATTTCAACTTTAAATTTGTCCCTTGAGTAGTGGTACAGGAGCAGACTCAAGAACAAAAAAAATGAGAGCAACCAAGGATAATTTACTAAAATTCACCTTAAAAAGATTGAATCTGCCATCTTGGATCTCTGCACCTGGTGTAACTTCCATAGTACAGTCTTCGGCCTAAGTTAAATAACATACTCCCCATTAGGATACCACACAATTTTTAATTTACAGGCCATATAAAGACAAACTAGCTGTGGCTAGTCCGTGACTTGAAAGTAAGAACATAAAATAATTATTATTATAAAACCCTGAAAGGGAAGGAAGGGGAAAAAACAAACATGGTAAAGAGAACAAATTTTTTTAACTATCAGGTAGAATTTAATCATGTTTATGGGGGAAAAAGTGATTTATCCAGGGAGTCAAAATGGGATAGTAGAAAAGGCAGGGTTATTCTGGAATATTTACTAATTACCGTAATTTTATTTGTAGTAGAAGTAACTGGTATAACTTCAAGCCCCATTCGTATCCTTTTTTGTTTTTCACAGTAAGCTTTCCAAGTATCTTCATTAAACCCATAATTAAAATAATCAGAAAGATCAGCACCTAAAGACAAAACAGATTTTTACTGTGCAAATAATAATGAAGTACAAATATAAAAATTCAGAATTTATATGTCTTACTACCTTAATTCTAGTAGTTCTGAAAAACAACCCCCATGAAGCAAAGATGTCGTATCATTTTAATCAATATTATTTTGCTAGAAATAGTAAAATAAAAATATGCAACTGGACACTTTGATGGTGTATTAATTGATAACTTCTCTGCACAACCTTCTGAAGTTGAGAAAATATTTTTTAAGTCTACATTTATGATAATGCTTAGCCACTAGTTAGGTTTAATAATATAAGTGCTTATTATTCATCTTTTGCTTAGGACAAAAAAAACCAACATAATGACAAAAAAAGTTAAGTTAATGTTAAAGATATTTTTCTGATGGCCTCATACTTTGAAAGTAATAAAATCTATAATTATCTTACCAGGTTTACGCCATGGCTTATCTTCAAAAGAATCCAAATCGACCTCCAAGAGTGGAACTCCATTAATACTGCCAGGTGCATCAAGATCTACCCCTTTTACTTTTGTTCCTATTTTACAGAAATACAAAATAGTAAAGGAGCTAAATTAGCAAAAGCCTGGGAGACATCACCAGTTTACTATTCCAGACACCAAAACTGGCAAGCATTTTAAACAAAGCATTGTTTACCATAAATGAAAGGAGTAAAGTCAAACTTCCTGGTGTAACTTTAAGATGAACTGCATGGAAAGAGTAGGGACTTATTGCTATGAAGGAGGAAAAGATTACTAACAGCAGGAAGTTGCTAACTTCCATTTTTAAAACTGTTCTGAGGGCTGAGAATGTAACTTAGTGGTAGAGTGCTTGCCTAGCATGATGAAGCCCTAGATTCTATTCCTCAATACCACATAAACAAAAGAAGCTGGAAATGACACTGTGGCTCAAGTGGTAGAGAACTAGCCTTGAGCAAAAGCAGCTCAGGGACAGTACCCAAAGCCCTAAGTTCAAGCCCTAGGAGTGGCAAAAATAAAATAAAACTGTTTTGATATAATCTGAGTGAAGTTAAGCTTTACCTTTTAAGGAGTTATAAAATAAGCACAAAAAAAAAATTATGGCCAGGTGTCTGGTTCACACTTGTAATCTAGTTACCTGGGAGACTGAAACCAATTGGGAGGATAGCAGTACAAAAACAGCCTAGGCACACACATCTCAACCAATATTGGACACAGTGGAACACACCTGTCTTCCTAGCTACATAGGAGGCTGAGAGAGCTCCAGGCCAGCAAGGGAAAAAAAAATTCATGAGACACTCCCCCTCATACCACATCTATAAAGTAGGGCACATCGATTATCCCATCTACGGCAGGAATATAGTAAGAAGTATAAAGAGGAAGACCATGGCCCATGCCTGCTCTGGAAAAACCCTAGAATAAAAAGGGCTGAAGGCAGACGAGGCACCCGTGGCTCACGCCTGTAATCTTAGCTACTCAGAAGGCTTAGATCTGAGGATCTCGGTTCAAAGCCCCCAGGGCAGAAAAATTCTTGTGACTCTTATCTCCAATTAACCACCAGAAAACCCAAAGTGACACTATGGCTCAAGTGGTAGAACGCTAGCCTTGAGCTGAAGAGCTCAAGGACAGCACCCAGGCCCAGAGTTGAAGCCCTAAGACTAACAACAAAGTCTGAAGGCATGGCTCTGACTTCACCCAGTGCCCATCAAATAAACCACAAAAAACTATATAGCTAGAATAGCATACAATATTTACCATTTGGCCATCAACAGAAAAACTTTTGTCAACATCTGCGATGTATGGTCAAACACTGCTCACTAAAAGAGCTATTTAATGTTATTTATGATCTAGTCAAGATGTGTACCTTCATTTCCTACTGATCTAATTATAAATACCAATCTCTTACCTGTAGTCCCATAAACTCTTCCCCCCGTCTTAATGTTAAGATTTACAGGTGCTGTACCATAACTCCTAAAAACAAAATAAACATTATCCTGAGGAAGACAAGGTATATAAAACAGGGATATAGTCAATTTATTAAATAGCCACACAGTAAATGGGAAGACTAATATTTATTCACACATTTTAGATTTTATACTAATTTTTAAATCTGTCACTTGCTTAATAGTTTTTGTAAAAAGTCTTATTTCCCTATCAAAAGTCTCCTTGCTAACTGAATATCCCATTTTAACAAACTTTACAAGAATACTATATGCACCTTTGCTTTATTTCGTCACCATATAGTTATTCACTATACAGCAATTAGGTCAAGAATGAAAACTCTCCATCCCTTTCTAAGCTAAGCAAGAAGAATAGAATGAGAAGCTATACAGGTTTGACTCCTGTCTTCATGATATTTAGATTCTAACAATCAAAGGTCAACACAGCCAACATAGCTCAGGTATATCTATATACAATACAATGTACAAAAGTTCTAGTTTGAAAGTATACAGAAATTAAGGGCTGTCTATAAACCTCCTTGTTACAGGACTGCTACAAAAAATAGAAAAACTATAATAATTTAACTGTCAGTGTTCAAATAAATGTATTTCTTTGCTTCTTACACAGATATTTTTTCCATTCTTTATTCTGGCTTGAAAACACTATATTCATTGTGTGTAGAGAGGCTTAGCTTTAGCTAAGTTTAGGCAAGTCTGATATTCTCTATTCCCACAGACCCCCACCATGCCTCATCAAATCTCAAGATATATTAGGTGTTAGATTCCACATACTTAGGTTTTGTAAAGAAACTTCAAAATAAATGTGCCAAATAGATTTATTTTACCTTCTCCTCCTATATACACTCAATTGTGGTATACTAATTCCTTAATCTCCATACACAAAGGCACAACTATAATTCATGAAACTGAAAAGTACTAGAAAAAAATAAAGTTAAGTACTATGGAAGTCCTAAGTACATTGTACAATTCATGCCCCAAAACTTGGTTAGGTTTGTTTAGTGCTGATCCTGGGGCTTGAACTCAGGGCCCTACCCCCTGTTCTTTTGCTCAAGGCTAGCACTCTACCACTTGTGCTATAGCTCCACTTCAGCCTTTTTTTGGTGCTTAACTAGAGGTAAAAGTCTCAAGGCTTTGTTGTCCAGTATGGCTTTCAACTGTGACCCTCAGACCTCAGCCTCCTGAGTAGCTAGGATTGCGGCTATGAGCCACTGGCACCAGGCAGGTTTATTATTTTTACTCTTAAATCAACATTTGCTTTAAATTGCCCTATATATACAAAAACAAATAATTTGATACAATAGTATTTATTAAATTTGTAATGATTACACAGTGCAAGTTGTAAAGGCCTACTAGCAGAAAAGACTTACTAGTCCCATATTATGAACCCAACACTTTACTTTCTCAAGTGAAGATGAGAACCACATAAGAATTTCTAGCCCTTGGGGATGGGAGGAAAAAACTGGGGAGAGCAAGTACATTATCAAAAAAGAAAGGTAGGGGCTGGGGGGTTAGCCCAGCAGAAGAGCGCCCACCTGGTGTGCGCAAGGCCCTGGGTTCGGTCCTCAGCCCTGGGAGAAAAAAAAAAAAAAAGAAAGAAATGTACTCTTTACCTGAGTTATGTAACTGAAAACCCTCTGCACATCACCTTTATAATTAAAATTTAAAAATTAAAAATTTATTTAAAAATTAAAATTAAAAAAAAAGAATTTCTAGTCTTCAGACAGGCATAGAGGCATAGTCCAATGCATGTGACATATTCCGATAATCTCAACAATTTAGAGGTTTGAGGCAAGCATGGACTACACAGCTGCCTCAATGAAACATAGAAAGTAATTCTATTGTCAACATGAGTAATTAGTTTCTTCTCTACCCTATTCACTAAAAAGTCATTAAAACTACAAGGACAGCCATTACATTCCTGAAATAAATGCCTTTCGAAAAAGAGTTCCACTAGGGAAATAAAACATCCAACACTATGTAAATATTGGTTTACCCCAAATATTGCCTTGCATGCCTGAGGCCCTGGGTTCGATTCCTCAGCACCACATAAGAAAAAAGCCGGAAGTAAAGGTGATACATAGAGGGGTTACAGTTACATAAGTCAGGCAATGAGTACATTTCTTTTTGAACACTGCCCCTTCCTTATTTTTGATACTATTTTTCTAGAGAAAAAATTAAAATACTAAAGGTTCATAAATAATAAAGTAAAAAAGTAACAAACATAGATTCAAATTACAATTTAAGTCCAATTTTAATCCAAAATTTTATAGTAGTGAATTCATTTAAAATATATATGTGTGTATCAAAACCTGTTTCTTCCAACTACCTACCTAATTAACTATCTATAGGAAATAATTACCTTTCTGGAGAAATTTTAACAAATGTTCTTTTGTATCGCCTTTACCTAACAAATATGAAATCACCAAAATCAGGGTATTCCTGGCTCATACCTGTAATTATGGGTGGTGATGGCTAACAACTTAATCCCAGCTACTCAGGAGGCTGAGATCTGAGGAATGTGATCCAAAGCCAGCCCAAGCAGAAAAGTCCACGACACTTTGTCTCCAACTAACCACCCAAGTCAAAATTAAGAGCTCTAGCCTTGAGCAAAAAAGCTCGGGGACAGCACCTAGACAGAGTTCAAGCCCCAGGACTGGAGCACATACACACACAGGCATGCACATGTATGTACACACACACACACACACACACACTAAAAATAAAATACTGAAATCAACCACAGACAATCTGACCATCTGATATAGGCATAGAATTTTTGCTATATGACTTTCATACAGTGTTACTTGAAAATAACTTACCCATACTGTGGTGCTCCTGTTTTAATATCTCCGATAGTGACATGAACATCATCTTCATCATCATCACTGTCACTATCACTATCATCTTCAGTCTCGGTCACTTTCTATATCAATATAAACAATTGTAAAATATATTCATTTCAATATTTTATATTAATAACTGAATTTATCCTGTGTTGTAAGGTATTTTTTCTCAGCAGTTGTGGGGCTTGAACTCCGGACCTGGGCCTCTTTGTACTCAAGGCTAGTGCTCTACCCCTTGAGCCATAGTGCAACTTCTAGGTTTTGAGTGGTTAATTGGAGATGGGAACTTTTTTGCATAGACAGGCGTGGAACCACAATCCTCAGATCTGAGCCTTCTGATTAGTTATAATTATAGGCGTGAGCCACTAGTACACCCAGCTTTGAGGTAGTTTTGTTGTTGCTTTCTGTTTTCTTTGTTTTAATTCTTTTTTAAATTTTAATTTTTTTTTGGTTGTGGAGCCTTAACTCTGGACCTGGGCACTGTCCCTCTGCTCTTCAGCTCCAGGCTAGCATTCTATCACTTGAACCACAGCACCACTTCCAGCGTTTTCTGCTTATGTGGTGCTGAGGAATTGAACCCTGGGCCTCATGCATGCAAGGCAAGCATTCTACCACTGAGCCACCTTCCCAGGCCCTTAATTTTATTGTCAAAGTAATGTACACAGGGGTTAGTTATCTCTGTAAGTTAGTGAGTACCTTTCTTGTTGAACTTGTTACCCCCTCCCTCATTTCCTCCCATTCTCCCTCTCTCCAATATACCCCACCCCCAAGAAGTACAGTTCATTTCTAACCATATTGTCTTGTATCATGATTGCATTGGTTCCTCCTTTGTCCTTTGTCTTAGAAGTAGTTTTAAAAGAAAAAAAGCTACAAGCTCCTAAAGGTGCTACATATTTCTACTTACTTATAAGTTTAATATTTTACATATTAAATAGGAGGACTATAAAGAAATAGAAAAGCCAGCCACTAGTGGCTCATACCTGTAATCCTAGCTACTCAGGAGGCTGAGATCTGAGAATCACATTTCAAAGCCAGCCCAGGCAGAAAAGTCTATGAGACTCTTATCTCCAAAAAACTACCAGAAAATCAGAAGTGGTGCTGTGGCTCAAGTGGTAGAGTGCCTGCCTTTAGCTGAAGAGCTCAGGGACAGCACCCAGACCCAGAGTTCAAGCCCCATGACGACCAAAAAAAAAAAAAAAAAGAAAGAAAGAAATAGAACTTTTCTGGCACCATTTAGAAAAAAAAAACAAAAACAAAAAAAACCCTAATTTATTTAAACTGTATTTGTAATTGATCATCTTGCAAACTGACCCACCTTGCAAAATGCTTCCCTGTCTACAAGTTTGTTTTCAGAAAAATAAACTGGCTTCTTTTTTACAAGAATAAATATATAAATGAGAGGACTTCCCAATTTGATACAGAGACTACCACATTAAAAAGACATGGCTAAAAACTACCAACATTCACATTTAAGTTGTGAGATTCACTTTTTGCTCTGAAAACCAAGCTTTCTTGTGGTATATTCAGTTACTGTACAATCATTCAGTTATTTGAAAACAATAAACATCAACCCTTTGCACATGTTCTATTTCCTCTGAAGTTTCTCTACTATTTCTTTTCCTAAGTCCTGCATACAGTCCTTTGGATGGCACCAGATGAGATAGATGTAAGGGGCCAGGTCACATATGATACTAAAGTTATGTTAACTGGTGATTTTATTTTTAAATAAATTACAGCCGGTCACCGGTGGCTCATGTCTGTAATCCTAGCTACTCAGGAGGCTGAGATCTGAGGATCACGGTTCAAATCCAGCCCGGGCAGGAAAGTCCATGAGACTCTGATCTCCAATAAACCACTAGAAAACAGAAGTGGTGCTGTGGCTCAAGCGGTAGAGCGCTCACCTTGAGCTGAAGAGCTGAGGGACAGCGCCCAGGCCCAGAGTTCAAGCCCCACGACTGACCCAAAAATAAATAAATAAATAAAGTTATTGAGAAAGAATTTTAACATGAAAGTCACTGGGCTTCAAAGCTTTATGAGTATGTTACCGGTTTTGGTACTCCATTTTCAGTGGCTTCATCTTCAATTCCAGATGGAGGATTAGCACTACGAACACAAAAATAAGTATACAAGTCAGATACTGCTTTTCAAACTATAAATAGATTATACTGATATTTTAAAGCTACAACTGGTAAGGTTTTTTAAAATTATCCTACTGGATGGTAAAATCTGTCTGATCTATTCTTTGCTATTCCTATCGTTTTATATTAAACAAGTACTCAACATTAGAAAAAGAAGTATATCTCAGTAGTTTAGTTTTTGTCTAGCATGCATCATTGGGTTTGATCCCCAGCATCACAAATCAATATAAATAAACAAACACATTAGAAAAGAAGAATTGAAATGACTCCACAATTTATGAATTGCAATTTGATGGTAGGATATAATTTCTTTTACTTTTAATTTGTCAGTACCAGGATTTTAACTCAAGGCATCAAGCATATTTGGCTTGCCTACTTGCTTACAGCAAACTTCCAGCCTGATGGTTCACTGATTAACTGGATATGGAAGTCATGCAGACTTTTCTACCCTATCTGGTTTCAAATCAAATTAGCAAGCCTAATTTGGATTGATTTTGAAACTTTTATAAAGGCACATTTAACATTTAAATTTTCTATTCAGTATTAAGTATATACAGCTTAACAACGAAATACACTGTTCATGACTCAAGTTTGCCATTAACCAACAACACTCCCAGTATAGTTTCTTAATTTTAATAATTGTAATGTTAACAGTGTGTATTAGCTATCATATCATTTTACAATTAGGAAAATAGAAGCACAATGAAAAAAAATCCATTTGACTCAAGTCTCAGAGAATTCAAGTAGCACTTCTAAAAGAAATGTTCATATGTTCATATAGTCCAAACTTTTTACTAAATTTGTATTAATCTCTCCTAAACTTTACTTTTGTCAAACAACTTGACGTAAGTCAGTTTAATATTTACAGCAGCATTTTAGAACACCATCTACAAGGAAAGCAAACAAAAAGAAGAGAAAGTGAAAATTTAAGATTTTTCTTATTCTACAGTTTGACTCAAGAAAACAAATGACTAACAATAATTCTTCTAATATCCTACTTAAGTAAGCTTGTTTTATCAGTGTTTATGTACGTACATTTGTTCTGGTATTATACCCTCACTTGCCTTTTATATTTCACACAACAATCACAATGTTTAAGCCAAAACCTGGACAGATAAAACATGCCAGAATTGCAAACAATGTAATGTAACTGGTTAATAACCAAGGAAGAATTCAGCAATGAACAGACCAAAAAGCTGGATGCAAATTCTAACAGCAAGGACCTAGGTAGGACAACGCAAGATCTAACAAGCTAGACACTCAAAGGCTTTGCCAAACTTCTTCCCCAACAGATCGAATTGTTTAGAATTTTAGTTCTCCATCATCAATAAAATGTCAGAAATAGGGTTGGGAAGGTGGCCCAGTGGTAGATTGCTTGCCTTGCCTGCATAAGGCCCTGGGTTCAATTCCTCAGCACCACATAAGCAGAAAAAGCCAGAAGTGGCGCTGAAGAGCTAAGAGACAGCAAGCACGCATGACCAATAAAAAAAAGTCAGAAATAGCAAGACACTGGTGGCTCCTAATTGTAATCCTAGCTATTTAAAAGGATGAAACTTTTTTTGTGGTTCAAAGCCAGATCAAGCAGAAAAGTCTGAAAGATTCCACCTCCAAAATAACCAGCAAAAAGCCAGACTAGAGGCATAATTCAAGTGATAGACTGCCAGCTGTGAACAAGAAAACTATGGAAAAACAAACATTTTCTCTCCGTGGAATAAATACAATAGCTTTCCAAATAAAAGTTTTTTTATGCCACTCCTGGGGCTACAACTCTGGCTCTGAGTGTTGTTCCTGAGCTTTTGTGCTCAAGGCTAGTACTCTACCACTTGAGCAACAACTCCATTTCCCACTTTTGAATGGTTAATTGAAGATTAGAATCTCAAGGAATTTCCTGCTTGGGCTGGCTTTGAACCGTTATCTTTAGATCTCAGCCTCCTGATTAGCTGGGATTACAGGCATGAGCCACCAGTGCCCAGTGAAATGAAGTTTTAATAATATAAACAAGTTTTGACAGTATCACTCAAAGAAGATGGGAAGATTATCTCTAATAGATTTTATCAAGTTATGAGTACTGAAGCTTTAAAGTTCAGTGACAAAGTAAACAAAAGTGTAGCTAAGAATAGTAAAAAAATTAATGGCATAAAGATTAACTCATAAAATTACGCATTTGGTTATAACTCTATGCTCTAATCAACTAGCTTCTTGTCTAATTGAAGAAATGAATAGGAAGAAATATTTAATTGTTTTCATTAACTACATGCCCATCTCAATTTTGTGGCTGAGATTAGGATTAGGAACTAAATTGAATATATAAATTTCAAAACTAAAAGATTAAATGCAGATGATACAATGATAGGAAAAAAAAAAACACTGGGGAAATACATTCTGGAAGAACCCTCCTCCAATTCAGACACTTCCTGAGCTACAATTTTTTCCTCCAATCATTTGTTGCTCTAACAGCCTTTTTTTTTTTTTTTTTTTGCCAGTCATAGGTCTTCAACTCTGGGCCTAGGCACTGTCCCTGCGCTCTTCAGCTCAAGGCTCGTACTCTACCACCTGAGCCACAGTGCCACTTGCAGTTTCTGGTGGTTAACTGGAGATAAGAGTCTCATGGACTTTCCTGCCCAGGCTGGCTTTGAACCATAATTCTCAGATCTCAGCTTTCTGAGTAGCTAGGATTACAAACGTGAGCCACCAGCACCTGGCCTAACAGCTTTTTTGAGACTTAAGTCACATCTATCCTTTTAAAGGATACAATTGAGTCTTAGTACAATCATCCTAACTACCTAATTCTAAAAGGTGCACATGAAGCCCGAAAGAAATTTTGCATGTCTTAACAGTTACTCACTCCCATTTTACTTTGCCCCCCAAACCTCTTAGTTTTCTGTCTACAGACCTGTTTGTTCTGGACACTTTTTATAACAGAATTATACACCATATCATCCTTTGTGACTGTCTTCTTTCACTTAGCATATAGTTGTCAAGGTTCATCTTTTGTTATATATAACATAAATTACTCCATTACTTTTCACTGCCAAGTGGACACATTTATCTATCCACTTGTCAGTTGATGAATACACAGGTTATTTCCATTTCCATCTGACTATGATAAATAATGCTATTAACATTCAAGTACAGGGCTGGGAATGTGGCTTAGTGGTACAGTGCTTGCCTAACATGCATGAAGCCTTGGGTTAGATTCCTTAGTACCATATAAACAGAACAAGCCAAAATGTCACTGTGGCTCAAATGGCAGAGCACTAACCTTGAGCAAAAGCAGCTCAGGGACAGTGCCCAGGCCCTGAGTTCAAGCTCCAGGACTGACACTTAAAACCAACAAACAAATATTCAGGTACAAGTTTAGGCATAGAGGTATACATTCTCACTTCTTTGCTCAATTATGTGGTAACTCTATGCTTAACCATTTCAGAAAACTGCTAGACAATTCTAAAAACAGCTACAGAATTTTATAATCCTATCAACAATGTATGACAGTTCCAATTTTTCCATATCCTCAACAACATGTGTCTTATCTCTGATACCAGTCAGCCTACCAGGTATGAAATAGCATTTCCTCCACTTTATACTTCCAGGTATTTCTTACATGCTTGAGTATGCATTAGTTTGAAATTTTAAGAGGAAATTGTTTCTTTGAATATATCTTGTACTTTCACCATTCTAATAACTTAAAAAAAAAAAAATCAACCTTGGAAGTGGCGCTGTGGCTCAAGTGGTAAAGTGTTCTTGAGCTGAAGCGCTCAGGGACAGAGCCCAGGCCCAGAGTTCAAGCCCCACGATTGACAAAAAAAAGAAAAAAAAAATCAACCTCGTAGCAAATTAGTCAATTCTACTTTGAATTTAATCGATATGAAATGCTGAAATTATAACAAAAGTATATTCTAATATAAAAATATTAATAAAATTATAAAAATGGTACTTTTCAGGGTTCCTTAAATTTTGAAGTCAAAATATTTCAGTAGTTAATGATTATACTATATATGCTACTACTGAGCTCAGTTACTAAACTCAAGAGTTGAACACTTCACTCTCCTAGCAAATAAGACAGAAATGGTCATGAAATAGGAGTAAACCCTAAGGGATTCAATGTCCCCAACCTGCAGTTAAAATGGTGAAACCAAGCCAACGATTATAACGAAATAATGGACAGTATCACACAACTGATAAAATCTATACAAGCATCAACAGGAATTTTCACTAACCTGGCATTTTCTTCTTCTGGCCTTTCAACTTCATTTTCATCTACCAAGTAAAATAAAATAAAGTAAGTAAATAAACCAAGCTGGTGGGGGAAAAAAAAAACCAGTATTATGAAAATCTGAAGTGATCATCACAAGCACTAACCTAGGTCCTTTGCCAAATCACTGTGCACATGCACGTCCCATGGGCCTATAAGCATATCCAAAGTTAGATCACTTTATAATTGTTTAACAAGAAAAGTCTTTCATGGAACAAAATCAGACTTTATACTATTAAAAATAAGGTTAAGAGGCACTGAAGATCCAAGATCTGTGTAAAAGAAACTCATACATTCATATTTCAGAATGGTATTAATGCTAAAGCCACTAGACAATATATTTTTTAAACAACTTTATCAAAGTTACATCTAGGAGCAGCATGGTGCCCACTGTGCACTTTTACTTACTATTCTTAAGCAATCAAGACTTTTAAATTTTAAGTAAGGAACAAGCATTAAAATCTGGTGTAACAGACAAGAGGGATAATGACTTAATGAAAATTAAAAAAAACCAGACGTCAAAACAAATCCCCTTCAAGAAGCAAGTACAAGATGCATTAAATTTAGAGGAAACAAAACAAAACAAACACATGAGATGACACTGAGCACTATATGCCTAAGGGTCATGAGGTACATCTATGATGTGGGTTAAAAAGCAGTCTCTTAAAAAAGAAAAACTTCACCTTAATACAGGAGACATTCAGGGTTTTCTTTATGGGCCATAATGTTTTCCATCTCTCTGTCTGTCTCTCTTTTAATTAATTATTTTTAAAGCACGACTTTCAGACAAGGAGGTACCCTTGCAGGTGCATTCCATACAAACTGTCCATACAAACTGACCATCAAGAAACAAGACGTTAGTTTTACAGCATGTAACTTTATTTCACTATTATTACAGAATGACTTTCTGAAAGCATGGGTCAGCAAAGGGCAAAGCTATGGCCGTGGAGGCAAGAAGAAGAGACGCAGCAAGCACACCTCAGAAGCAATAGAGAAGGCCAGAAGAAAGAGCAGAGAGGGAAGGGGGTGGGGGAGAGAAGGGAAGTAGCCCAGAGACAGGCTCGGAGGCGGCGGAGGACACCGGGGAAGGTAGAGGGAAGGCGAGGCGCACCCTGAGTACCCCGAGAAGACGTGGGGCGCGGTGGGGGGCGTGGGCAGGGCGTAGGAGGCCGCGGGCCGGGGGACGCGCTCGCTGCGCTCGGCCTGAATTGGGCCGGCCGGGGCGCTAACGAGAGGCCCGAGACGGCGGCGCCTGCGGCCCGGACGCCGGCTTGCGTGGGAGAGGCCTCAGACCACCCCGAGGGGGACAGGGACAGGAAGTTCCGTACCGCCATACAGCCACTCTTCCTCCTCATCCCCTCCGGTCCCGCCGCTCAGCTCCGACACTAGGCGCTCGACCTCGCCGGCCGACATGGCCGCCCCACGCACAAGTTAAAGGTGGCGGCGATCAACAGCCCCTTCCAACCCCTTCCCCTGCCTCGCTGTCCCGGGACGCGAGAAGGGAGTGCACTCGGTGGAGAACGAACGAAGAAAGCGCGAGACTCAAAAATCCACAGAAGGCAGCGCCAGGGAAGGCGAAAAGGAAGACGCCGGTGCTGGCCCCGCCTGCGCACGCGCGGCGGCACCCCAGCGGCGCGGCGTCTCTAAGGTGGCTTCACTTCCGCGGCGGCCGCTTAGGCCCGTGTGCGCAAGCGCAATACTATTGGCCCCGCCCCTACAGAATCCCGCTCTGCCTTTCGGCTTGGCGTCCTGCGTCGCCTCGGGTTCCCCTCCCCCAAGCTCCCTGCTAGTACCCAGGGATGCCTGTTGCTCCACCATTGTTCTCTTCTGCCTTTGATACTGGTCTCCTGTCTACCTTTGATTTAACTTTAAAATCTCCCTAAAGCCTTTGTGTTATTTTTCACAGGTTGCATAGTTAGTATAGCATCAATTCTTACCTGTCAACCCCCTATGAATCTAGTCTCAGTAGAAAAATTTCCACCACGCAACAGAAGCACCACTGTGTGAATAATACATCCTCCTTGTTTAAAAAAAAAAATTCCAGTGACTTCTTGCAGATTCATAAAAGTGCTTTTGGGTGCAAGTGGCTCACACCTGTAACTCTTTACTCCGGAGCCTGAGATCTGAGGATCTAGATTTCAAGTAAGATTAGGAAGGGAGCCAGGATCCGGTGGGGTGGCTCACTCACACCTGTAATCTTAGCTACTCAGGAGGCTGAGATCTGAGGATCTAAGTTCAAAGCCAGCCTGGGCAGGAAAGTCCATGTGACTCTTACCTCCAGTAAACCACTAGAAAACCGGAAGTGGAGTAGAGCGCTCTCCTTGAGCTGAAGAGCTGAAGGACAGCGCCCAGACCCAGAGTTCAAGCCTCAGGACCAGAAAAAAAAAAAGATTAAGAAGGGAGATTTGTGAGATTCTTATCTTAAATTAACCACCAAAAAATCAAGAATAGCCATCCAGGCCCTGATTTAAGCCCAAGATACACCAAACAGACACCTATTTCTCCAAGGCAGAGCATAAAGTATAGGCAGTTTTTTTTTTCAAAGTGGATAATAGAAATTTATTTAAAAATTGATTTTCTATTCCAGGACATGCAGACAGCCAGCTACCTGCAATGAAAACATACTTTAAGCCACATTTCTTGGTTTTAAGTTCAGTTGTTTCAAGTTGAATTGTCCTTAAGAGAAAGCAGAATATCAGATCTCTTGAGGCAGTTTTTATTTTAGTAGATTATGCCAAATTTCGAGGACACTTTAAAGTACATACCTTCAAAGGAAAAGATGACATAAAATGGGTTGAAACTGCAGTTACAATTCTTAATTATAATAAAATAGTTGGGTGACCTTGGTTGACCAATTTCTCTATGCTGTTTTCTCAATTAAAAATGTGAAAATTGAATTAGATATCTTTAAGATCCCTTTTAGTTCTGAAATGATCAAATAAAGACTCACTTTTCAACATAAACTACCTATATTAGTTGTACAAATACATGACTGGATTTCTTGTCCTCTCAAATAAATATATATGTAACAGTCATTGACTATCTGTTCCCTTTAGAATCTTGGGAAATGAAGACACTAGCAAAACTGAAGGATGGTAAACATGTTCCATAATTAAATCTTCAAGGAAAAGGTGCATGTGCTCTAACAAAGTGTTTTCATTCCACAAACAACATCATCTCACATGATATAAACCAGTCATGTGGGTTTTAGTTCTCTTTACTTTGAAAACATTTCTACATGCTCTTCAGAGCTCTTTTGCCTGTTAAGAACAATTGCTTACATTCTTCTAACTTTTGTTCAAATATACTCACCTTCATAAAAGTCATGAATTATTCACTTCTTTTAGTTTAATAATCTCATATTATTTAAAATCTTTCTTGAACTCATTTTATCTCTTTCCATTTAATTATTCAATATATATTTATATATATTTATAGAAAGTCAGTAGACTTCAAGACTAGGTAAGTTCAACAGTGAGTAAAAACGCCTTCCTTTCATGGAGTTTCATTTTAATAGAAAAATCAAGAAGGCATACATGCAAATATATCCTGTTGGCAAGAATTATGAAGAAAAATCTATAAGAACACCAAGAGCAAAGTGATTAAGAGGAATATCAGGTGGCAAGGGAAAGCTACTCTAATGATGTAATACAAAACTAGAACCTGAATAGAGAAAGGAAGTAAGCCCCCTGTGTATTACTGGTTGCATAGACTATCACCAAGAACAGAGGCTGTGAGACAGAAGCATACATGAGATTTTCAAGAAAGGAAATGTACTGAAAAACAGGAAATAGAGTTCAGTAATATTAGGAGGTTTGTATGGCAAAGTCAATTCTAGAACCCATCTAGACCTTGTACTACTTCCATAGCACATGTCTATTCCATTTATATTATTATATATTATTACATTATATTATTGCATTTAGATTATTTATATATGCCTCCCCACTATACCAAATTCTCCCTAAAATAAGACATCTTATTTATTTGTTACTTCCTTTCTTGGTGTGGTGCATAAAGTCAATCTTATGTAAAGGAAATAAGATGAAGTAGGTGTGGTGAGATATGCCTGTAATACCAGCTACAGAGATAGGTGAATTATGTTCTAAGAAAGCAAGGGGGAAAATCACAACAAGATATCCAATACATAACTAAAAAACAAAAACAAAAAAAAACAGCTAGGAACATGGCTCAATTGGTAGGATGTCTGCCTAATAAGCAATAGGGCATGAATTCAAACTCTAATACAGCAGAAAGGAAAAAGAAAAAGGAAAGGAAAGGGAAAGGAAATTGTTTTCACTTACTGCTTTAAGAATCATAGGCATAGTCTCCTCTATCTCTCTTGTTTAATGAGTCTATTGTGAACTTTGATATTTTCATGGGAAAATCAATTTATTTTGCTAGGGTGCTTTTTTTTTTAATCCCCTTTCAGTACCTGGAAGGAGCTTGGCGTTGAAGATATTACCTAAATTGAACTAAAGAACTGGTGCAAACTGTATGTTCCATGATAATGACAATGTGCCTTGTGAAGGTTAAAATGTGTTTAAGGTTCACTCTTGGATGGTGAGCAGATTCCACCTTCCTCTCAGCAAAGTCTCCACCCAATACCGGTGTTACCTAGGCAACTGGCACACCTGGAAGAGGTCACATCTGCATCCACTGAGGTCACATCTGAATTTGATATGGCCACACCTTTCTCCACCCATACCCTAGATAAGGCCTAACCCAGGCCCAGATGCCCTCTTTCCCACCCAGGCCTTTGCCTGCTTCTTCCCCCCAACCGCCACCCCCACCCCCAGAGAAGGGCCAACATGGCCTGGTGCCAGCCAGAACAATGAATAAACCTGTAATCCTAGCTACTCAGGAAGCTGAGATCTGAGGATCAAGGTTCAGAGGCAGCACCAGCAGGAAAGTACATGAGACTCTTATCTCTGATTAACCACCAGAAAACCAGAAGTGGCGTTGTAGCTCAAGTGGTATAGTGCTTGCCTTGAGCTGAAGAGCTAAGGGACAGCGCCCAGGCCCAAAGTTCAAACCCCACGACCGACCAAAAAAAAAAAAAAGAATGTTCCATGAATCCTTAAGCTGAGAATATACAGGACCTAAACAAGAAAAAGTAAAAGGGAATTGTGCTTGGAAAACAATTGTTAGCTTGAGTAGGGAAGCACAAATTACACTTGATAAGGTGAATGTAATGTAATGGTATACAAAGCAATAATTCATTTTAGCAACAATTAATTTTACTGCATAACATCTGAAAGCAAGAAAGGACTCTCTTTTCGGTTTCACCTTGTGACTCTAATGGATAATTAATAGGTATTTCAAATGTTTGTATTTCAAATTAGAACTATGATTCACCTCTCCCACTTCCACACTCCCCAGGGTTTCCACATCTTGCTTTCAGTAGTACAAACATCCACATTATCTTTGAGTCTAATTTTTTTCCACCATCTGCATCTCTCATACTTATGCAAATCTATTGTCAAGGTCTGGTGGCTCTTTCTATAACATATCTCTCAAATCTGTCTACTTCTCTTCAGTACTTCCACTAATGCCAGCTGGTTGCAATCTTAGCTACATGCAAGCAGAGATGGGAAGATTATGGTTCAAAGCCAGTCCAGGGAAAAAGTAAGGGAGAGCCTATCTCATGCAATAAACTGAGCATAGTGGTGCATGTCTATCCCCCCACTTGGGAGATATAATTAGAAGGCTTGCAGTGTGATATAGGCCCATTTCAAATTATTTTCTACATAATAATCTGGAAAGTTTTTTTTTCTTCTAAATCACTTCAACAGTTCCAAACTGGCTACCACTATTTGGAGTAGAAAATAAGGATGTGGCCTGATCTAGTTGATATCTTTCTTTTTCTAGTTCCTTTCTTGTATATTATATTTTTTCTCACACCTTCCTTCATGCTATACAGGCAAGCCATAATAACCCCTTTGTAGTTGCAGAGAACATGTCATACTATTCTTTGTTTCTTTGCCTTCGTTAAGCTGCACTCCCTGTCTGCATTGCCAGAAATACTCTCCTTGCGCCCATCCTGTCCACTGCCAAACACCTGGGTTTCTTTGATGGCATCTCAAAACTCAGGTTCTATATGAAACTTCTGACTACTTCCCCTTTTGTTTTATGCAACCACAATTTGTTTCAATTTCTTTGTAACTCCCATGTATTTTTAGTCATTGCTTCTGTAATATTTTATTGTACATTTTGATTTCATCAGTAGGTGTCTGCTTATTTCATTATAATTCTTTTGAGAGTGGTGATATAGCTTATTTATATTTCTATCCTGAATGTCCAAGATAGTGTCTCAATGTTGTACAAGTTTATTAAAATTAGTTGAATATATTATATATTATATGAATATTATTATTCAATGACATTTATTGAACATCAGTTACCTTCTAGGTTTGGGAGACTTCAGGCAGGCCTTTGGTACACAATCTAGTAAAACAGATATATTAAGGAAAACAGGTATGTTAACACTTTTTTTTAGGTCTGAGACTGGGACTTAAACTCATTATTTGCTGCTTTCTCTCATTGGCTAGTGCTCTACCAACTGAGCCACACATCCAACTCCTAAGGGTTAGATGCTAGTTCTTTTCTATCCTTCCTATTACCCAGCTCAGCATCATCACTCATTTGATATGTGAAGTACTTAGCAGAAATTTCAATCAACAGCTATTTATCAGGAAGTGAGGAAGACAAGTTAGGGGAAGTAGAGTTAGGAAAATCCCCACTTGGAAGGTACAATTAGAATGATTATTTTATTAAAGGAAACATTTGCCAGATGTAAATCCTTGTGGCTCAAGCAATACGTTTTATTAGCCATTGCATATTTGAGGCACAGTGATTATACTTAATAAGTATGTTATCAATATTAATTGAAAAATTGGAAGGAAGGAATTCTGAACTCAGTGTATCAACTTCATTTTATAGCTACATAAAGTTCCAGGCTGGGCATAGTTGGAAAGAAATTAAGAAATCAGTTTTCTCAATTTGATTAATATTTTGATTTCTTTAAAAGGGTCTGGTGTACCCTGTAGGTAATTGGGCCAGGTGAGGCTTTTAAGCAAGAAAATGGTAGGACCAACATGTATCAGAAAGAAACCTGAATTGGAGGGAGGGACGGATGGAAATTATCCAGTTCAACATCATTACTCACCACAAAATGTCCATTTGAATGATGCTGCTGAGCTGGGTAAAAGCAAGGATGGAAAAGAACTAGCTTCTAGGAACAAGGTTTAGATGTGGTAGGATAGGCTGGAGCCTGGCTCAAAGGCTACAGCATCTTGCCTCAGGACGAAGTCCTGAGTTCAAAGCCCGGTAACAACAAAAGAAAGAAATGGCACCTGGAATGGGGAATAAGGGAGAGTGATAGAAGAGGTAAGGTTGATAGAGTACATTGTATGCATGTATATAAATACCACAGTGTACAAATAATGTATCCTAATAAAAAGTATTCATAAACAATTTTAGAGGCAAGATGATGGGGGAAAACAAAAATAGACCAGTAGGTACATTTGTGAGACTTGTTTGATATTTTTATTATCTTCTTTGGCTGCTCAGAGTTTAGATGAAGAAAATGGCTGTGCCTACAATGATATACTCATATGCAAGGAAGACATAAAACAACAGATTTGCTTTTCTTTTTCTTTTGTGCTTGTTGTGGGGCTTGAATTCAGGGTCTGACGCTATCCCTGAGCTTTATTACTCAAGGCTTTTTTACTCTGGCTTTTTAGTGGTTAATTGGAGATCAGAGTATCTAGGGCTTTCCTGCCAGGGCAGGCTTTGAACTGTGATCCTCAGATCCCCGTTTCCCTGAGTAGCTAGGACTACAAGAGTGAGCCACAAGCTGAAGATCAGGTTTTATTGTTGTTCCCGAGTTTTCTCAGAGAGTGAGGAAAGGTATCCAGAGGGATGAGCTGAAAAGCCGGTCAGCAATTTTCTACAAACTTTTGGACCTGGCAGGAAACCCTGACACACGAAGCCCCGCCCACTACACGTTCCCAGCCCTGACTAGCTTCCCTCCAACCCGAGCTTCTCACCGGCCAATCAGCGATCCGTTCGCGTCATCACTGTGCGCGGCCAGAGTGGCGCGTCAGAGACTCGACCACGTGTATGGTGTTGACTGTCAAAGTCCCCGGGAAAAAAAAACACTTCACTTTCCGGAAGTGGTGAGTTCTGACAGAAGTTCCTGCACCCGAGTTTCTGGACGCTGTGGGTCCCGAACCATGAGCGTTCCGAGCGTGCTGACCTTTACCCAGCAAGGCTGGGAGCAGGTGCTGGCCAAGGCCAAGCGGGCTGTGGTCTACCTAGACGCCGCCTGCGCGGAGAGCCTGCACTGGGGGTGCGGTTACCCGCGGCTCTTGGAGGTGGTGGGGGGTCCGGCCTGTCACCTGCGGGAGTTCGAACGCGACGCAGTTGGTGGCGGGACCGAGCAGCCGAAGGCGGTGTTCGTGTTGAGCTGCCTGCTGAAAGGTCGCACGGTGGAAACTCTCCGAGACATCGTCCGCCGCAGTCATTTTCAGTACTGTGTGGTGGTCACGGCAGTGAGCCACGCCGTTCACCTCACCGCCAATCACGTGCCAGCGGCCGCAGCGGCCGAATTAGAAGGGCAGCAACCGGTGTTCGAGCAGCTGGAGGAGAAGCTGTGTGAGTGGATGGGCAACATGAACTACACGGCCGAGGTGCTTCATGTCCCCTTGTTGCTCGCCCCTGCTGCTCCCCACCTTGCCTTGACTCCAGCCTTTGCTACCCTTTTCCCACTACTACCACAGGATGTGCATCTCCTTAATAGTGCCCGACCGGACAAGAGGAAGCTGGGCAGCCTGGGCGAGGTGGATGCCACCGCTCTGACCCCAGAACTGCTGCTGCAGATAAGATGCCTGGTATCAGGCCTCAGTTCTTTATGTGAGCATCTAGGGGTACGAGAAGAATGTTTTGCTGTGGGTTCTCTCAGTCGTATTATCGCTGCAGACATGGCCAGTTATGCTCCTGCGAAGAATAGGAGGAAGACTGCTACGGGCAGGGCATCCGTGGTCTTTGTGGACAGAACTCTGGATCTCACAGGTAAGGGACCAGGGCTAGAAGGGCTTCAAACCACTCTCCAAGGTGCTGGACTTTTACTGCTTGTGTATCTGTTTCATTAGCCGTTTACAATATGTCGGATTGAGGATAAGGCTATGGCCTACTAAACAAAGTAACTAATCTCACAGAGTTTAAAATTTAGAGTGAGTTTAATTTAGTCTTTGGAGGGGTAGAAGAAATAGATAAGCAGATAAGGAATTACAACACAATCTGTTAAATGTGTAACTAGTACATAGGGCTTAAATGTGTGTTACCTTATTAAAACAACTACATTTTATCTAAGAAATTAGAAAAGTGCAATTAACCTCATCATTGAAGAGAACTGCCTATCTTGGAACCTTTTAGAAATGTACTGATATTAATACAAGAATCTGCCTAAGCCATATTATAGTTTATTGGAAAGATGTTATCATGAGACATGAAATTATCACAAATAGTTATGGTTTAGTTTCCTTTAAATGGGTTTTAAAAAGTGAACTTGACATTACATAGTACCAGAGATTTATAGAAAACATTTTCAGATGTTTATCGATTCATTATTAGTGCTCATTCATGAAATGTGGTAATCTAACAAATGTAATCCTTTAAAAAGGTGAAGAAATTTTTTTTCCTGTCGTGGGGCCTGAACTCTGGAAGAAATTTTTGATATGTACATTTATTTTCAGTGGTCAATTTTATTGTTCTATAATGGTAGTATAATAATATAAGCTAGCTACATTGAAGGTCAGTGAGAATAATCCCAATGCTGATACTGGTAATCAATTCCTTTGGCAATTCAGAAGAAAATGTTATATGATGTTCTAAATAATACAACAGGTGTATTTGAATTTTTTAGATTATAAAGTAGGAATTAGGCTAAATGATAGTACCGAAGTATAAATTATGTACATGGAAATATCAGGTGTCTTGTCTGTCACTTTGACTTAAATATAATAACATCATAGACATCTTAGAAGAGTAAAGAAAAAGATGCCAGTTGAATATGTTTGTTGTCTGAATAAACAGAATATACTGGTTTAACTACTATTTTTTTTGTTGCTGTTGTTCTTGTTCTGAATCTGTTTTTATTGGTATAAGGGCAAAGACTTCAATGTATAAGTAAAAATAATTTCATTATTATTGAGGTGTTGTATAGAGGGGTTTCCATTTCATACATTGAGTAATGAGTGCATTTCTTTTTGGACTTTGTCACCCTTTCTTTCACTTTTCTCCAGTCCTCTCTCTTTCCCCCTCCCCCTCCCCCTTTTCTACCCACACTTTGCACAGTTCATTTTCCACATAGTGTATACTGAATGCCATGACTGCATTTGTTCTCCCTTCCCTTCTTCTCCCTTTCTGTATTTTCTTTGCCTCCACAAGAGAGAAGACTCAAAAGCAAAAGCAAAATCAAACATCATAATCACCACCACTACTACCAACCAAACCCCCATGTTTTCATTTCCTGGAATTCATTTAGATAGTATTTATTTATTTATCAGTCATGGGCTTGAACTCTGGACCTGGGTGCTGTCTCTGAGCTCTTCTGCTCAAGGCTAGCACACTATCACTTGAGCTTCAGTGCAACTTCCAGTTTTCTGGAGATTAATTGGAGATAAGAGTCCCACAGTTGTCAGGCCTGGTGGCTCACACCTATAATCCTAGCTACTATGGAGGCTGAGATCTGAGGATCACGGTTCAAAGCCAGCCTGGGCAGGAAAGTTCCTGAGACTCTTATCTCCAATAAACCACTAGAAAACTGGAAGTGGCGCTGTGGGTTCAAATAGTAGAGCGCTTGTCTTGAGTTGAAGAGCACAGGGAGAATGCCCAAGCCCAGAGTTCAAGGCCCAGGACCGACCAAAAAAAAAAAGTCCCACAGACTTTCCTGCCCTCGATGGCTTTGAACCTTGATCCTCAAATCTCAGCCTCCTAAGTAGCTAGGATTACACGCATGAGCCACTGACACCCAGCTATAAATAGTGTTTTAAATGTTCAGAAGAGTTATACCTTTGGGTTCTTTCCCTAAGAATATTCTCCCTTAATCTGACTGTGTGAATGCCTAGAGTCCTTTATAAATTATCATGTTTGGTTGTATTTTAGATCTAGTTTTCACAAATGAGAGAAAACATGCATCATTTGTCTCTCTGAGCTTGGCTTACCTCACTTAACATGATTTGTTCTAGATCCATCCATTTCCCTACAAATGGCATCACATTATTCTTTCTGATGGATGTTTAAGATTCCAATGTGTATAAGTGCCCCATTTTTTGATCCACTCATTATTGTAGGGCATCTGGGCACCTGGGCTGTTTCCATAACTTGGCTATTGTGAATAGTGCAGCAATGAACATGGATGTGCTAGTGTCTTTACAGTATTCTGGGTCAATGCCCAAGAGTGGTATGGTTGGGTCACAGGGAAAAGTTGAAGTTGATATTGATGCATGGTGACAAATAGGGATTTAATTTTATAAACTTTTATATATATTTGGTCCTGAGGCTTGAACTCTGGGCCTGGGCGCTGTCCCTCATCTCTTCAGCTCAAGGTGAATGCTCTACCACTTGAGCCACAGAGGCACTTCTAGTTTTCTGGTGGTTTATTGAAGATCAGTGTCTCACTGACTTTTCTTCCCGGGCTGGCTTTGAACTGTGATAATCAGATCTCAGCCTCCTGAGTAGCTAGGATTGCAGGCATGAGCCACCAGTGCCCGGCTTTCCCTGTGCTCTTTTGCTCAAGGCCAAAACTCTACCATAGGGCCACTTCTGATTTTTGAGTGGTTAAATGGAGATAAGAGTCTCACAGGGACCTTTCTGCCTGGGCTGGCTTGCAACCAAGATCCTCAGATCTCAGCTTCCTGAGTAGCTAGGATTTCAGGAGTGAGCCACTGATGCCCAGCAAACTTTTATTTCTGTATTACAAGATGTAACAGATTGCTTCATAATTAGTGAAGAAAGTCACATATTTTTGTATTTCCCTATGATTTCAGTTAATAGTCTGGCTGTCCAGCATCATAGCAATAGCTTCTTTATTCTTTGGTTTATAACTACTCTTGTATATACCTTTTTCTCTGTATACAGAACAAATGAAGTAAGCATGTCTTTTGTCTTCCAAAAGCTACAAAATAAAGCAGTTAAGGAAGACAGAAAGTAAGTTTTGGTACAATGACAAAGTTATCATTCAACAACAGTCATCTAATATTTTAATTCTTGTCAAGTCTCTGAATATCCTTCCCTATACTAACCCCCTGTCTACTTGCTTCCAGTAACACTGAGAAAGTGTAAGCCAGCAGAAACCTCCTATACTTCTCATCACCAAATCACAACCTTTCTACATTTGTACAGTGAATATTTCTTCATTGTCTTACTAATGTTAACTTTTTCATCTATGTAGACTAAGTCTCGTTCCTTTTCACTTCTCTCATAGATTTTTTTTAATCAAATACCTTTTTTCTATCATCATTTTCTCTCTGTCTCTGTCTGTCTCTCTCTTTCTCTTTCTTATATTTTTGGTCAGTTTTAGGGCTTGAACTCAGGGTCTGGGTCCTGTCCCTGAACCTCTTTGTGCTCAAGGCTAGTGCTCTACCACTTGAGCCACAGCACCACTTCCTGTTTTGGGGTGGTTAATTGGAGATAAGAGTCTCACATGGATTTTTCTGTCTGGGCTGACTTTGAACCGCGATCCTCAGATCTCAGTCTCTTGAGTAGCTAAGATTACATGCATGAGCCACCAGCCCCTGGCTCTTTTTCTCTTTTTAATATATAAATTAAATGGGACATCTCCTTTCTTTACCTCTTATGCCCCTTCAATTTTAGTTACTTTTTTTTTTGCATCAGTTTGTTGCAAACTTTAAAGAGTTGTTTATTCTTATCCCTACAATCATCTGCTTCAATTTTTTTCTTGTTCTCCTCTTCAATTTAACTTTTAGTTTCTGATACTGCCCAGATACTTATTTTGTGAAGGTCTCTAATAGCTTTTATATTGTCAACCCTAATTTTCAGTTATCAAAAATGTTTTTTCTAAATCTCAAAGCAGCATTTGACACAGCACAGAAAAGCAAATAAAATTTTAAAGAAATACAAGAGGACATACATGTATCAACAACCACTTTATCACTTGTTTGCTTATAGTTATCACACCTACTACCAGATTCAACTAATAATTTTTGTCTGTTTGTTTTTGTCGGTTGTGGGGCTTGAACTCTGGGCTTGGACACTGTCCCTGTGCTCTTCAGCTCAAGGTGAGAGCTCTACCACGTGAGCATAGCGCCACTTCTGGTTTGCTAGTAGTTTTTGGAGATAAGAGTCTCACAGCTTTTCCTGCCCAGGCTGGCTTTGAACCGTTATCCTCAGGTCTCAGCCTCAGAGGTAGCTACGATTACAGGCATGAGCCACTGACACCCGGCTCTAATAATTATTTTTAAGGCCACACATGACCTGCCTTTGCCTCTGTTCTCCCCTGACACACTGGCCACCTTGTCACTGCTAAGACATGGCCAGTCTTGGAGATTTTGAAATTCTTCTGTGGCTCTTTCTGGATTGTTCTTCCAGATATCAACTTGACTTTCTCCCACCTTTCCTTTGAATTTCATCTCAGATGATGCCTTGTTTCTAGAGCCCTTTCCCTGACCACTGTCTTTACACTCTGTAAGCATTTCACTGTTTTGTCATTGCTTTCCTCCCCCCCCCCCACTATCTGACACTACTAATTATTGTCCATCTCCTTCCACATGAATGGCAGCTTACATGTGTAGAGGAGGGGGGGGTCTTTATTTTGTTTAGTTTTGTGTTTAATAACTTGCACTAAAAGAGTACCTTGAAAAACTGTTTTCAATTTTCAGTAAATATTTATTGAATGAATGGATAAATAAATGTATTAAAAGCAGACATTCATTGAAGTCAACACAAAAGTTTTTCTAATGGTTTCTAAGATTTTGTTGTTGTCATCCCATTATTAATTTTTTAGTGATTTTTTTTTTGTCAGTCATGGAGCTTGAACTCTGGGCCTAGGCGCTGTACCTCAGCTCTTCAGCTAAAGGCAAGTGCTCTATCACTTGAGCTGCAGGGCCACTTCCAGTTTTCTGATCGTTTATTGGAGATAAAAGTCTCATGGCCTTTCCTGCCTAGGCTGTCTTTGAGCCATGATCCTCAGATCTTGGCCTCCTGAGTTGCTAAGTTTACAGGCATGAGCCACTGGTGCCGGCTAGTGAACAGGGTCTTAACAAGTAGGTAGATATGGTTAGTTTTTATTCATTGGAACAATTCTCCCATGCAGTGATTACTTCTGGAGCTATAACCAAATTTCATGGAAGAAGCATTGATTTGTATTACTAGTCTTTTTTTTTTTTGGTCATGGGGCTTGAACTCTGGGCCTGGGTGCTGTCCCACAGCAATTCAGCTCAAGATGAACCCTCTACCACTTGAGCCACAGCACCACTTCCATTTTTTGGAGTGATTTATTGGAGATAAGAGTCTCATGGAGCTGGGAAGGTGGCTCAGTGGTAGAGCACTTGCCTTGCATGCCTGAGGCCCTGGGTTCGATTCCTCAACACCACATAAGCAAAAAGAAAAAAGCCGGAAGTGGCGCTGTGGCTCAAGTGGTAGAGCACTAGCCTTGAGCTGAAGAGCTGAGGGACAGCGCCCAGGCCCAGAGTTCAGGCCCCACAACTGGACCCCCCCCAAAAAAAAGAGTCTCATGGAATTTCCTGCCTGGGCTGGATTTGAACCAGGATCCTCAGATCACAGCCTCCTGAGTAGCTAGGATTACTGGCATGAGCCATCGATGCCCAGTGACTCTTGAATTTTAGTTAGAGGTCATCATTCATTGTTAATAGAATTGATGCATGTTATGTTCCTCAAACAGTACATGGTGCTTAGAAAACATTCAATACATGTTGCTGTTGTTGTAGATCATGATCTTTTTTCACTTATTCTTATCCAACAAATACTCAATAAGAGCCCCGTGGCTCTAATTTTTGTGGTGCACGTGGGGGGCGGGTATAAGCTTGACAAATGGGACCTTTGCCATTATAATGGACAGTTAATGTGTAAGAAAGATTGCTGTTTTGGGCTGGGAAGGTGGCTCAGCGGTAGAGCAGTTGCCTTGCATGCTCAAGGCCCTGGGTTCGATTTCTCAGCTCCACATAAGCAAAAAGAAAAAAGCCGGAAGTGGCGTTGTGGCTCAAGTGGTAGAGTGCTAGCCTTGAGCTGAAGAGCTGAGGGACAGCGCCCAGGCCCAGAGTTCAGGCCCCACAACCGGACCCCCCCAAAAAAATTGCAAATAAAGCACTAAATACTAGATTTGTGTAACAGAAACTAAAAATGTGTTATTTTGATAGAAGGTATAGTGTATAAAGCATTTTTCCAGTTAACTTTTTCCTTCCAATTTTTGAATTTTACATTTGCTCATCTGCTTAAACAGGAGCGGTTGGACACCATGGAGACAACTTGGTGGAGAAGATTATTTCAGTGCTCCCGCAGCTTCCAGGCCATACAAATGATGTGATGGTCAACATGGTGGAGCTCACAGCACTCCAGGCTGAGGATGATAATCAGAATGTGGTTGCATCAGGCTGTCTCGCTCAATCTAAGTAAGGCATAGAGATTCTCTCTCTCTCTCTTTCCTCTTTCTCTCTCTCGCGTTGTCTTCCTCCTCCTTTTCTTATTCTAGATGGATTATCTGTGTAGAAAAGATACACAAAAACCAAGTGTGGCATATGTCTGTAATACCAGCTACTGGGTAGCTCTTTTCATATCTTTCTTTTTTTTTTTTGGCTGGTCATGGGGCTTGAACTCAGGGCCTGGGCACTGTCCCTGAGCTTTTGTGCTCAAGACTAGCACCCTACTGGAGCTACAACTCCAATTCTGGCTGTTTTGGCAGTTAATTGGAAATAAGAGTCTTGTGGGCTTCATTTCCTAGGCTGGCTTCGAAGTAAGATCCTCAGATCTCAGCCTCCTGAAAAGCTAGAATTACAAGCATAAGCAACTGGCACCTGGCTTCATGTCTTACTTTTTAATATAGTTATTTATGCTATATTGTGGTTTCTTTCTCTACTAGACTGCTATGAAGTAAACTTTCCACTAGAGAATTCCATGAAAGCAGGCTATTTGCCGGTTTCATTCACTGCTGTATTGCATTGCCTAGAAGAGTACCTGGCATACAAGAGACATATGCTGAATAGATGAGTGGTGATGAAACCGCAAAAGGCATGGAGAGAGAGAGAAAGAAGGAGAGAGAAAGAGAGAAAAAGAGAGAGAGTAGGATATCTTATTCTTTCACTAAGTTCCTGAAGAAATGTCTATTTTTGGTTGTTAATGTTGTTTTGGTACTGGGGATGCAACCAAGGACCTTGTAAATTCTAGGTAAGTGCTGTATACAGAGCTATATCTGTAGTCCTAGTCTATGTATACTCTAACCCAAATGAACTTCACCGTCTCTGTCAGTGAGAAGGAAGAAAGTAACATCCAGTGCCTGTGGGCATCTCTCCACTTTGACCTGCTGTTTTATACTTTTCAAGTAAATATTGCAATTTGGAAAGGAACAGGGCCTGTATCTTCTCAGAATAACTTGCTAATTTAACTTCATTGAGGAATTTTTAAAAAATATCATCCAGACTCTGTACAGTTTTATTTATTTATTTTGATCTGAAACTGAAACTTGGTACCTGAATTTTTCACTCACTGGCTAGCGCGTCTACCAACCGAGTCATACCTCCGCCCAATTACACGTTTGTAAAAGAGTTAATAGTTTGTAGATTATTCTTTGAAAATTAGATATAAAAGTAACCACTAAGAAATTTAAAAATTATTCAATACACCCAAGATATTCTAGGTTGCATTTTTTTCTGGTCCTGGGGCTTGAACTCTGGACGTGGGCAATATCCCTGAGCCTCTTTGTGTTCAAGGCTAATGCTCTACCACTTGAGCCACAGCGATACTTTCAGCTTTTTTATTGGAGATAAGAGTCTCATGAACTTTCTTGCAGGATTACTAGGGTGAGCCACTGGTGCCCAGCTTGCATTTCTTGATTTAAATACCTTTTACACAGTTCTTTTAAAATTACATATTAAAAAAGGAGGTTCTTGGTCTGTAATTATTGACATATTGCTACTCTGTTATAGTATTTGTTTGTTAAGGAATGTGCATTCACAGCCCCAAAATCTTTTCCATATTGAAAATTTTAAATGGTTTGTGGTATCTGTTGTGAGAAGACTGAACTCTGGGTCATTGTGGCTTTGGGATTTGTAATTTAAATGGAAACTATGGCTCTTTTAAACAAAGCCAACAACTCTCTGAAGTTAGCTAAAATGAAAAAGGAATGGAAAGACTTATTATATTTGAATGACAAGATGTGATTACAGTTCTTAATTAGGTTGATGATTAGTGCCAAGTAAAAACAGTCAGTCTGAAAATTGAACTTCTCAATAGTTATCCAATCAGAATCTTCATTTGGGTGCTTCTAAATTTTATGTTGTATAGAAAAGAGTACATATGTCCAAAAGCAGCAAGCCTAAATTGTCCTTCAGCGCTGTTTACAGTTTCTCTGCTAACTTTTGCTGGTATTCTTGCTTTGGCACATTTTTCTGAGTTTTCCTTTTCTCTGGCTTCTAATAGTATCACACTGGGGCAATGGCTGGCTGTGAAATGATTTGAATCCTCAGTGTAAAGTTATATTTCCTTGGAACAAAGCTTGAAGGAGAATAAACTAAGCCAGAGATGGTTTTAGTCATGAAAGAAAGCATGATTAGGCCCAAAACAGTTGAGGTCTGAAATCCAAGAAGTCAATTTGGGTGACACATCATTGGTAGAAAAACAGACGTGAAGGCTGGGAAAGTGGCTTAGTTAGAGTGCTTGCCTAGTATGCATGAATCTCTGGGTTCAATTCCTCAGTACCACCAAAACAAAAAAAGCCAGAGGTGGCGTTGTGGCTCAAGTGGTTGAGTGCTAGCCTTCAGCAAAAAAGCTCAGGGATAGTGCCCAGGCCCTAAGTTCAAGCCCCAGGACTAGAAAAAGAGAGAAAGAGAGCAGTATGTGAGGTTATGTTTGGATTCTAAGTATCTCCTAAAAGGCTTATATGTTAATAGCTCCTGGGAAAAGATAGGATCTTGGAGGCTCTAACTTAATCATTGATAAGTTTATAATTTGATGGCATTGTTGGGCATACTCAAAGATGGGCTGAGTTGGAGGAAGTTAAGTCATTGAGGCACATTCCTTGGGGAATATATCTTGTCTCAGGGTCCCCTCCTTTGTCTTTGTGCTAATTCCTCTCATTTTCAGGTCTCAGGGCACATGTCAAACACTTTTTGACCTTCACCCTACACTTAGATCAGGTCAGGTACTATACTGTTCTGGAATGCTGTTGTCACCCTGCAGGAATGCACTTGATCCTAGTTTCTCTACCAGATGGCCTCTCCCCATGGCAGGGCACTGGAGGCTTCTCACTGAATGCCCAGACCACATAAAGTGCTTATATCTTGAAAGAAAGGAGGAAGGCAACCAGGGTTCTAGTCCACACACCCTGTATCCACGCCGCTTTATCTTTCATTGAAATGAAAAGTTAATGGGTAAAGTTACTAAAGGTAAAGTGATTTTTGAAAAAAGCAATCAAGCCAGCAGTGGTGGTTTATGTCTGTAATCCTACCTACCCAGAAGGCTGAGATCTGAGGATTTCAGATCAATACTAGACTGGGTGGGAAAGTCCAAGAGACTCCATCTCCAAATGGCAAAAATGCTGACTGGAAGCTGGGCATCGGTGGCCCATGCCTGTAATCCTAGCAACTCAGGAGGCTGAAATCTGAAGATCAGGATTCAAAGCCAGCCGGGACAGGAAAGTCCGTGAGACTTTATCTCAAATAAACCACTAGAAAACTGGAAGTGGCACTGTGGTTCAAGTAGAGCTCTGGCCTTGAGCTGAAGAGCTGAGGGACAGCACACAGGCCCAGAGTTCAAGTCCCATGATGGACAAAAAATGCTAGCTGGAGGCATGGCTCAAGTGGTAAAACTCTAGGTTTAAGCGAAAAAGCTAAGTAGGAATGTGAGACTCTGAGTTCGAGTCTTGGTCTGTTCCCCCTCCCCCAAAAGGCAGTCAAAAGATGATAAAGCTTCTATAATTTAAGCAACCTACCTTATTAAGTGTACACTGATGGAAGTTATTTCCTGATGTGAAAAACTATGACTCAGCTTCATGTCTGATCTGTTTAAAATTAGGTGCATTGCTGTGATTATTGTATTTCTGTTGTAATATTATGACTGTGGAAGTCCTGAGTAAACTTAGCTTCCTGTGCATGCCATAAAGCAACTATTTCCCATTCTGAGGAGTTTAGTCACAAATAATGATATGCATTCACATTTCATCCTGACTCTTACTCAACTGAATTAGCACGATGATGCACCATTCAGCCATCTTTTAAAAATTAATGCCATCTTCTTTGTATTTTAGTTGGTGACAAATATTTCCTGTTTGTTTCTAGTGGATGGCATTTGATTTCAAACATTCCAAACTGTAGTAGCTTCTAAGATTTCATTGATAGTCAAAGCTGAGTAATTCTAGTGAGTAAACAACCAGCAGGGAACTGAGAGGATCATGTCTTCCTATGTAGAGTCTCTTGAGAGACTCAAAAAATCTATTTTTAGAATGTTATAATTATTGGTTTGTACTATTTTATTGTCATTATTATTATCATAATGTAGTTATATAAAGAGGTTATAATTCCATAAGTCAAATTTCAATGCATCTTGAATGTTATCTCAGTTTGTATTTATTAAGCATGATAATTTGTCAAAATAGTTTCATTTGTTAAGGATACAAGATAATCAGTTTATATATATATATGTACATATTAGTATATATTTAGCATTAATGTAGTTATTGACAATAAATATAGAAATGAATTGAATTTCATGGTAGCACAATAGATCTTTTCATAGGTCTATTCTACATTTTCATTGTATACTTCAAAGATTCTATTGTAACAAATAAAATTATGTTCAGCATCTATAAAATTTCTTGTTTATCTCTGAAAAATATGACGTTAAATATAAGAAGAAAGTAGAAAATTGTTTAAGTTATATTACACAAGCTATTGGACATTTTCTTTTGTTAGTTTTTCTTATTGTTACTGGATTTGTAAAAAAGGGTTTTAATAAAAGAAATAGCAACATGAGCTGTTCACTGATGTTTTTATAGGCTTTAGAAAGCTAATCAAATTTATTCATGTGAACTTAGAACAACAAAACATAATGTAAGCCTTATAAATGTATTTTTTTAGGGACCCAAGGAACTTCAGTTATTGGCATTCTAGTTCAGGTCTTTCACTGAACAGAATAGGGTAATCATGGTTAATAAATGGACGTTGGAGTTTACAGGGCCCTTGAGTCATTGGCTATATAATTTGGGCATGTTATTTAATCTCTTCGGGAATCTCTTTTCTCAACTAAAAAATAGGTCAATGATACATATTGTGGGAAATTGCTATTCAATAACATAGTCATATTATCGATGAGATTTGAGTGTTCAATGAATGAAAATAATGAGGTTACTTATATGTGGCTATAAAGTCCTAATGTCGCATCAGACAACTCATTGACACCTCCAGAGCTACATTGAGCTCCTTTTCACACTTAAAAAATTCAGTTCTTGTTTATTAATATTTGCTTTAGATCTTGATATTTGGTTAGCTTGAGAATGTTTCATGTGTATTTTTAATTTTTATTATTATTATTATAAAATTTTTATTATGATAAAGGTGATATACAGAGGGTTTACAGTTATATAAGTCAGGTAATGAGTACATTTCTTTTTCAAACTTCTTTTTCAAAAAATAATGAGATGCTAGGCAAGTGGTTTTGTGTTTTCTCATTTTTATAAGTCATCAAATAACTAGAAGATATTTTTCTTTTCTTTTCTAACATCAAATATAAGTTAGATTGGAGATAAAGCCCCTAGGCAATTTAGACTTCTTTTTTGTCTTTTTAGTTATATAAATTGTGTGTGTGTGTGTGTGTGCGTGTGTGTAATGCTTGAAAATTAAGATTTTTTTGTTTTGTGCCATTTCTTGGGCTTGAACTCAGGGCCTGGACTCTGTCCCTGAGCTTTTTTGTTCAGGCCTAATGCTCTACCCCCTTCTGGCTTTTTGGTGGTTAATTGGAGATAATAGTCTTTGTTGTTCTATCCAAGGCCCATCAGTTCCCTGATCTACAAGTGGATAATCTGGAATTACCCTCACAGACACACCTATGAGTATTCTTTATCAATAATCTTTTCGGTGCTATTACTGAGGCTTGAACTACACTTTCAGCTTTTTTGCTCATGGCTGGTGCTCAACTACTTGAGTCACACCTCTACTTCTGGCTTTTTGGAGAGACAATTCTCTTGTATTTATCTGCCTGTGCTATCTCTGAACCACAATCCTCAAATTTCAGATTCCAAAGTAGCTAATATAAGCATGAGCTACATGTGCCCAGATTTGCTTAACTAATTTTCTAAGTGTCTATCTTAATTCAGTCAAGTTGACTGAAGATTAATTATCAAAGAGTTATTGGGCTGGGAATGTGGCTTAGCAGTTGAGTGCTTGCCTAGTGTGCATGAAGCCCTAGGTTCGAGTCCTCAGTACCACATAAATAGAAAAAGCTGGAAGTGGCACGGTGGCTCAAGTGGTAGAGTGCTAACCTTGAGCAAAAGCTCAGGGACAGTGCCCAGTTCCTGAATTCAAGATCCATAACCTACCAAAAACAAACTAAAAACAGTTATAATGATGACAGTTTTGACCATACTAGAGTTCATTGAAAAGAGATAATATAAAAGCTACTATTTAAAGGTTATTACATGTCAAACACTACACTGAATACAAAAACACAAAATTTCATTGTCCCAAGTCAAATTAAAACTTCAAAGATGCATCCTAATGGATATAATATTCAAGGTAAATTAATATTTTAATTGGTATAGCTTTCAAAACTAAGTTAAAAATATATTGCTAGCTTCTACTAGCATAGAAGAGTTAGTGAAGCTTTAAGTAGGAGAAGACGTTCTGAGAAAAGAACAGAAGTCACCCTTGTGTCTTTATATTCAGTTTTGAAATGTTACTCCAAATGTGTATATTTGGCTACATGGCAGAGATCTTCCAGAAAGAACACTATTTATAATTTGGACTTTGCTTGTTGAGTGAGACAGAGAGCCATTGGAGACATGAACCCAGATGAGACTGCATAATACAGTGCGCTGGGCTGTTATCAATGGTTTATTGTAAAGGCTTCTGTAAGTGCCATCCTTCCAACCTAAGGTCCAAAGTGGAACACTTCAAGCCACAATTACTTAGGGCAAATTCTGATTTTCATTCACTGGGAAGTCTGTGAATTAGGAAGCCTATGAATAAGTTTTGAACGGAGATTCTCATTACTGATTGCTTTCTCAGATAAGTATTTTGACTCAAGTTGTTATATGCTGCATATAAATACTAACAAATAATTTAATCCATATATTTAATTTTGGATTCCAAAACATATTGCTCTAACAGCCAATCACTTGGATCTATCAAACCTATTAATGGCACACACCATATTAATGCTCAAAAAAGATATAATTTTTTTTTTTTGGTCGGTCGTAGGGCCTGAACTCTGGGCCTGGGTGCTGTCCCTCAGCTCTTCAGCACAAGGCTAGCACTCTACCACTTGAGCCACAGCACCACTGCTGGCTTTTTCTGCTTATGTGGTGCTGAGGAATTAAACCCAGGGCCTCATGCATGCAAGGCAAGCACTCTACCACTGAGCCACCTTCCCAGCCCCTGATATGTAATTTTTTAACCCCTTCAATTTTCCAGTAGAAATTAAATCTAAAGCTCTTTTGTGACTTTTATGCAGTGACCCAGCAGCCAGAGCTCTGTGGGAAGCTTTACTGAATACCAAGCACAAGGAAGCAGTGATGGAAGTTCGGAGGCATCTGGTGGAAGCAGCAAGCAGAGAAAACCTGCCCATCAAAATGAGTATGGGTAAGCCTGTCCTTTTCCCCTAGACCATGACCCTAAGCCCTCAGGATGCTTGCTTAAGCCTGCTCTGAACAGCAGGCCAAACCAGCCAACATGGAATCTAGGTAGAATAGAGGACAATGCAAGCACTGCTCTGGGACTCAACAACTTTCTTAGACTCAAGTTGAGAACGCTAGGAGAGTTCTTCCTTGTAAAGACACTTCTTTGGTCTTTTCTATTCCCTGTTCCTGCCCCCACCCCCTTTTCTCTTTCTGTCAGTCTATCTGTTTTTGGTGGGGTGGTGTTTTTTGAGACAGGATTTGTAGGCTATCCTCAAACTCGTGACTTTCTTGTCTTTGTCCTTCAAGCATTGGAATTAAAGGCATTTCTTTAGTTTCTTCCTTTACCTAGGACTACCTCTACGCTCAATTTTCCCTTTATAGTAAATGAAAATGCTTTTGATTTAATGAATGAACTATTACATTTTTTTACTTATTTTGCTAGTTGTGGAGCTTGAACTCAGGGTCTGTCCCTGAGCTTCTTTTTGCTCAAGGCTAGCACTCTACCACTTGAGCCACAGTGCCACTTTTAGCTTTTTCTGTACTGAGGACTCGAACCCAGGGCTTCATGCATGCTAGGCAAACATTCTACCACTAAGCTACTTTCTCAGCCCTGAACTATTGTATTTAAAAAGTCACTGGACAGACAGGCTCTGACCTGGCCACTTAGATGTATGGTAGCCTGCTAAGTGTCCAATCACATGAGTGTTCCTTTCAACAGGGGATTTTCTCATTTTATTCACTTTGTACTCTTGTTTAAAAAATATGTTAAATAATTTAAATATGGAAAAACTTAATTATGATTATTGAATCTGATTAATAGATTGAATTTATCTCTGGAAATTTGCAAAAATTATTTCTCTAGTAAAATTTCTCTTATAATCTGCTCTTTATAGTACTTAATATAGCTTATTTTAGTGGATAAGAACATTATTTTTCTATTGAGATTCATAGCCCAAGTTCTTGATTAGTTATAGGCACAAAATCTAAGCTATCAAGTTGAAATAGAGTACAGTGTTAATTTAGATCAATACGAATGAGCTAGTAGGAAAGGATAACAGGGTCGCAACATGAAAATAATATCTCGACTTTAGTGTAATTAGATGGCTATCTATCTATATATCTATGACAGCCTTAAGGAACGTACTGATGATAAGAAAAGTGAAAATAACATTTGCCAAGTATTTTTAAAGTAGTAGGTCTGACTCTCTACATGTGTTTATTTTATTTTATTTTTGGTTTCAGGGCTTGGTTGCTGTCTCTTGAGCTTTTGTGTTCAAGGCTAGTGACCTACAACTTCAGCCACAGCTCCACCTTTATTTTTGGTGGTTATTGGAGATAAGAGTCTCAGGGACTCTCCCCTGGGCTGGCTTTGAACTGTGATTCTCAGATCTCAGATTCTGAGTAGATAGGCTTACAGGTGTGAGCCATTGGTGCTAGGCACATTTATTTATTCATCTATTTATTATATATATATATTTATTATTATTTATTTATTATAAAGCATAAACTTTATCTTTAAGGGGTTGTACAAAGGGATTTCAATTCAACATGTCAGTTGGGTATAATACATCTTGATCAATGTCACTCTTTCATTATTCTCCCCTATCTCTCCCAATCCTACCATCCTCTCAATTTACCAGGTTCCACTTTCATATAGATACATTGAATATTATGACTGATAGCAAACATGGATGCATCTCATTTTTCAGATAAGGAGCTAGACAAAATTCAGTTGCCAAGGCCATAGAACTGATAATGGACAAACCTAAAATTTTAATGCAAGTATTCTGATGCCAGAGCATATGATCTCTATTTATAAAATCATGTAAACACAGTATTAACCAATAACAGAGGTCCTAAATTTTTTTGTAGAAATGCTTTTGCTGTTTTTGCTGTTTTGAGACCACTTTGGCATTTGACTGTTAGTTCTGTCCTTTTCCCCATTTTTTCCCTCCCTTCTTTCTACCTTTTTCCCCCTGTCTCCTTTTCTTTTCCACAGTCTTAGATATGCATTTGTAAAGATATATTTACCTTCTTAGCATTCTTTTTTTCATAAATATGTTGAAACAAGAAATAATTCAGAGGAAGAAAAGTAAATGAAGAAAAGCAGTACTGCAGAAAAGGTCCTGATGATAAGGATAATTTATATTGTGCTTCAGTAAAATAACCTTACAATGGTATCACAGAGCATGAATCAATTTTTATTGCTCAGTGCTGGACTCTTGAAAGAGCAATATACTTTACTTTTGTAAAGAGCTATATTTTTTCAAAATAAGCAAAGCCAGAAATTTAAAGAAAAATGAGTAACCCTTTGAAGAATTCAAATTTAAATGACTAGTCAACCAGAAAACTTTTTTTTTTTTTTTTTTTGGCCAGTCCTAGGGCTTGAACTGAAGGCCTGAGCACTGCCCCTAATGCTTATTTTTGCTCAAGGCTAGCACTCTACCACTTAAGTCACAGTGCCTCTTCCGGTTTTTCTTTTCTTTCTTTTCTTTTTTTATGTGGTACTGAGGAATTGAACCCAGGACCTCATGCATGCAAGGCAAGTACTCTACCGCTGGGCCACCTTCCGCCTTGCATGCATGAGGTCCTGGGTTCAATTCCTCAGCACCACATAAACAGAAAATTCAGAAAAAAAACAGGAGTGGTGCTGTGGCTCAAGTGGTAGAGCGTAAGCCTTGAGCTGAAGAGCTAAGGGACAGCGCCCAGGCCCAGAGTTCAAACTCTACGACCGCCAAAAAAAAAAAAAATTGCTTTCTTGTAAGACTTCAGAAATAAACTGAGGGAAAAAACCTTGTGCCAACTACAGTTTAGCAAAAGATTACACAGTGTGATATCGCCCCATTTATTAGGAAATGGAAAGACTTGGAAAAAATTATACTAAGTGAAGTAAGCCAGACCAAAGAAACATAGGTCCCATGGTTTCCCTTATTTGCAATAACTAATACATGTCTAGGACAAGCAAAAAAGGTCAAAAGCTATGTACATATGACTATATAAGATGATGGTAAGCGAAATGAACCCCAAGACAGGGACACAAGTGATTTTTTCTTTCTTGCTACTGTTTTTAACGTACTTATAATGCACTATGTGATTCTCTTGTTTCTTTTGTATGTTCTTCCCCCATGGTATAACCCCTGTTTTCCCTGTATCTGATTCCGGTGTCCTGCATCTTGTATATAATTGGGGGAGGGGAAGGGATATAACAAAATGCTTAAATAAGGATACAGGTTGACCCATTGTAACATTGAGATGTATAAGACACTATGTTGAAAAAAAACTTTATAATTTGCAGGGGGGCAGAGGGGATGGGAGAAGGAGTTGGGGAGATGGGGACAGAAGGGATGGTAGGGGAAAAACAAAGGAGGAAGTAACAATGCTTGATAGGAAATGTACTCATTACCCTACTCATGTAGCTGTAACCCCTCTGTATAGTATTTTTACAATAAAAACATATATGGACAGGAAAAAAAGATATTGATTAAGAAAATGTGGTATATATACACAATGGAATTCAATGCTTCCATCAAAAAGAATGACATCACTCCATTCATAAGGAAATGGAAAGACTTGAAAAAAATCATGTTAAGTGAAGTAAGCCAGATCCAAAGAAACATAGACTCCATGGTTTCCCCCATTTGTAATAATTAGTATATGTCTAGGATAGTTCTAGCAGAGGATCACAATAGCTCAATAGCTATGTATATATGACCATATAAAATGATACTAATCAAAATGAATTCCAAGATATGGAAACATGAGGGCTGTTTTGTTTTGTTTTGCTTTTAATATATTGTGTGAAATTATTTCTTTTTTATTTTCTTTTTTCTTTCTACTGTTGTCACTGTTAAAAAAAATTGCTTTCTTGTAAGACTCCAGAAATAAACTGAGGGAAGAAACCTTGTGCCAACTACAGTTTAGCAAAAGATTACACAGAGTAATTACCCATTTCTGTTTTGTATTGCTAAGCCAGAATTTTTTTGTGTGTCTCATTTTCACATACAAACAATATAACCATAAAAAAGTTTAAAACATAGTAAGACATTGATATGTGAAAACTGCCTATCATATAGCTTATCATTAAAAAGTCATGCTCTGGTGTCTTAAGTGGCTGGAATGCATTTTCTAGCAGCATTTAAAACTATGAGATATACTTTAAATTATGTACTATTTTCCATCCTCTGTTGTAAATTCTGAAGTATAAATTTTTTCTGACTGTGATAGAGACTTCTGGTATTTTTGAGACAGTAAACAAAATTTAATTCTAGACAGAGGATTGTCTTGTGTTTAAATTCAGTGAGAGGGATCCCATGACTGAAACCTCAGATCTTAAATATAAAATTACTCAGCACAAGGTAAATTCATATTAAAACATTTTGAGCACCAAGAGAAATAAACACCATTTTTAAAATGATAAAAGTTTAATTGGGAAAACAAAAGAATTCATTTTATCATTACACATATAAACATATGTCATCTTACTCAGAGCTTGTTATTAAATTGTCAGCTAAGTAGATATGTTCCAGAAAAGTGATTTTTTTAAAACCCCCAAAGTGAATTGTATTTTCCCCACTGGCTGCATAATGAAAAATGGGGTCTGAAAGTAAAAAGCAAATAGCTCCTAAGAAATCCATCTGTTGAAGTCCAAAGTGGCCACTCAGAGGAGAAATGAATAGAAGATGTCCATCTAAACTCAGATGCACTTTACAGAGAACCTTTCTCTGGAGCACTGTTGGGGTCGAGGGAGCTTCACCACTTTGTTCTATGATTTGTGGCATTTAAGGACCTATTCAAGCTGAAGCAAAACAGATCACTTTATGATACCATTTTTTTTGGGGGGGGTCCGGTCGTGGGGCTGAACTCTAGGCCTGGGGGCTGTCCCTCAGCTCTTCAGATCAAGGCTAGCGCTCTACCACTTGAGCCACAGTGCCACTTCCGGTTTTTTCCTTTTTGCTTATGTGG